TGGGCAGTTCCACTCTGCCCTCTAGGGGCGCTGTGGGTCAGAATAGACTCCACGGCAGTGGGTGTGGTTTGGGCTTTGCTTCTGTGAAGATTGACAGCCTGGGAGACCCTGTGGGCAGTTCCACTCTGCCCTCTAGGGGCCCTGTGAGTTGGATTTGGAATCGACTCCACTGCAGCTGGTTGGTGGGTATGAGGGCTTGACCTAAATGTGTGGGGAAGCTCCTGAAGGCGCCCCCCACCCCCGACTCCTTACCCTAGCCCTCTGCTGGTGGGTCACCACCTGGGATGAGGCCAGGAAACCTGCCACGTGTGCCTCACCCAGTTTGGGAACCCACCTGGTTCTGTCAGTACCCAGGTATCAGACCTGAGTTATCAGGAGTGAGTAGTGTCATTGCATCCTGGGATCTTGGGGCCCCTTTGGTCCTTCATGGGATCTGTGTAGGTGTGTGGACCCCAGGTAGACACTGAACATTCCTGAATGGCTGCCGTCTCCCCAAGGAAAGTGGGGTGGTGGGGTGCTCTTTGGTCTCGGCCTCTGGTGCCCCTGGCAGCCACAATTGTGTCCCCGCCAGAGGGTGTTGTGTGAGCGAACACTTGGACATGCCCACCGCCTCTCCCACATAATCTCACCATAGTCAGGTATTGGCTATACAGTTTAAGGGTCACACTTAGATGAACACACAGAGGACACCATGGTCCCTGAGCCCCAGGGTGAAGTGACACCTTCACCTCTGACCTGCCAGGCTGCTGCCTGGTCATCTGAGCGCCTGGCTTTAGCAGATCGCCTGCCAAGCTGACAGTCCCTGGAGGTCTATGGTTGTGGAAATCGTTGCTTACTCTGTGTTCATTTGTTTTCCTGTCTAGATAACAAGAAGTCTCAAGCATCTGTCAGCGGTAAGTGTATTTCCGTTTTGAAAGAAAGTTTGTCCCAGCTTTAGAGTTAGGGTGGCAGGAAGGAGCTAACGGTGCCCAGTGTGCCCAGGCCCTGCGTCTTCCTGAGGACATTTGCAGGAGGAGCAGCACCTCCAGACAAGAGCCCCACGTCCGTCAGAGGGCTGCTGGCCACGGCCAGGCCTCACTGTGTGCTTCCCTGGCTGACTGTGAGGTCCGGTGACAACACCGCCCACCTCACCAGAGCCAGCAGAAGGAGTGCCCGGGCCCACAGGTTATTATGACAGCTTCTCCAGGCTTGAACTCTCTGGGAGAAGACCGTTACATGCGGTTAGCTTGGTTCTTTCCAAGCATCGTGACTTTGCATTCCTTTTTTTTTGAGTGATTTTGAGTTTTGTTCCACATTGTTCTCCCTCTCTATCCAGGATCTCCTACATAGATTCCTCCTCCAAGTGGTTGACAGTGGTGGCCGGGCACATCTACTTCTTCTGGTCTCATGGTCATATAGCCTCTGAGGATCTGCATGGTGAACCAGTCCCTTGGACTAATTGTTTCCATGCATCTTTGGTTTCCTTTAGTCTTCTTTGCTCTGGATGAGGAGAGACCCATCATTGCAGCTAGAGGCCTGCTTGCAAGCTTTTAAGATCCCAGTAGCTACTCACCACAGTAGGATGTGGAATAATGTTTTTACGTAGTATGTTATGCCAGTTGAGCTTGATGTCCCCTGCGACCGTGGTCCCAAGCCCATAGGTCCAACTATTTGCTCTCTCTGGGTAGCTAGCTGTGACTGCAACCAAGGGACCCTGTCCCTTGTCAGCTCTACTATATACCTGAGAATTCTTACAGAACATACAAATATACTTGTAGAAACATTGTCTGCCAACCATATACATGGTCACAGAATCTGGAATCCATGTTCTTAAGTTACAGCATTTCTCCATAAGTAAAAGGCTGCCATGCTCTGTGATGGATATGAGTCTGTCACTCCTTGCTGAGACTCGGGACTTCCGAGCCGTGTGATCACAGCAGGATGGGGTGCTGACGGGGTGCTACTCCAGCCCTCACGGTCCCTTCACATCAGGACCCTGGCATAGCCCAGGGGACAGATACTTGGCATACTCCCTGAGTCCAGGAACAGTAAGGGACACACCCAGTGTCCAGACCCCTGGCGTGGGGCCACCTGGGACACTGGACTCTACCATGTGGGGGCTTAAGGAACAGAGCTGTTAGCAGGAGGGGACCGGTACCTATGAGGCCTCATGCCTCAGAGCCCTGCCCCATCACTGGGTGATTTTATAAGACTCCCTTCTGCCCCACAGATCCCATGAACGCTCTGCAGAACCTGACGGGTGCCCCAGCCACAGGAACCACGGGAATTGGCATGGCCGCTCGGGGCCCAGGGCAATCCCTCAGTGGGATGGGCGGCCTGGGTGCCATGGGGCAGCCACCCCCGGGCACGTCTGGACTGGCACCACACAGCATGGCTGTGGTGTCTACAGCAACTCCACAGAGTGAGTATCCCACTCCGCTGAAAGCCACGGCTGTCTCTGTGGGAGGACACTGTGTTCCCAGGTTTACCACGGTGCTGTTGCAAGCAGTGGGGAGGCGTCCCATGTAGCTCTGGCTTCTTCCTTTGTTGTGGGCAGAGAGAGTGAATTCTCGGTCTTCTTGGAGCTACCATGGGCTCACGTGGCACCAAGGCCCTTTCAC